GGGGATCGGGATGGGGAATACATGTAAATCCATGGCTAATTCATGTCAATGTATGACAAAAACCACTACAATATTGTAAAGTAATTAGCCTCCAACTAATAAAAATAAATGAAAAAAAAAAATCAGGGTTGTTCTGCCAAACTGGGGACTGAAAAACATTGATAAATCTTATTTCATCAGTTTCTTCATCTAGATTTATGACCTCATTCTGACACCAAAAATATTGAGGGGGAAAATGCCAGTAAAAGGCCCATACCCATATATCGCTCAGTCATGTCCGACTCTTTGTGACCCCGTGGACTGTAGCCCATCAGGCTCCTCCATCCATGGGATTCTCCAGGCCAGAATACTGGAGTGGGTTGCCATTTCCTCCTCCAGGGGGTCTTCCTGACCCAGGGACCGAACTCAGGTCTCCCCCATTGCAGGCAGACGCTTTAACCTCTGAGCCATCAGGGAAGCCCAGTGAAAGGCAACCCCTCCCAAATGGTTGTAAAACCTCTTTTTTCTGGTCGTTCTAATAAGGCTCAATTGGTTAAAGAGTTTATGACTACCGAATGATCCAGAAAACCACAGTTTCAATCTTTTATTTTTGGTAAACATGACCATCAAAAGTTTTGGTCTATAGATGACAAAATATCTTCTGATTTCCATCCTCAGCTACCTTTTCTTTGAAATTCTATTTCTTCTTTCTACTTTGTTATGTTTGTCTTGCTAGTAATCTACTTTTCCATTGCTATTTTTCACCTTCTGCCTCTACCTTTTCTGTTCTAGCTGAAATGTTCTAGATACTGAGGAACTTTATAATTGTTCTGAATTCTTTCTTTAGGAAGCAATCACTTAAAACATTTGGTTCTTAGACCAAAGAACAACTGAGGCTATTATAAGTTATAATATTATAAGTTGTATTATAATACAACTATGTTCCCATTTTACTGTTTCTCATACATTTCTTTTAACTGATCTTTCATACCAATAATAGAGGGCATGGAATAGGAGCTGCCACATAATAAGACCCCTTGCTGACTAGGTGGTCACTCCAGTATGATTGTCTCCTTCCCTCTTCAGAATGCGTGATTCCTCACCCCAGCCTTAGTCCTAAACTTACAGAGTTGAAGGGACTTAGGTTATTACTAAACACAAAACTTTTTATTTCACAGATGATGGGTAGTCAAGGTAGGTGAATTCATCAAGTCAGTAGCAGTCCAAAATAAAATAGTTTTCCTGACTTCCAAGCCAGTGTTCCTTCCCTGCATCATGCTAACTTTTACTGCATGGCTAGCTAAGACATTTTAAATGGGCTTTGGCAGGCTAGCCAGGGAACCCACGATTTATTACAGTTTTTATGAGAAAACTAATTCTGAGTTGTGCTCAGAATTCAGAATACATCTTTCAACCTCCTACTCATCCTCTCACCTCTCTGGTGAACATAGTATCTGGCCACAGGAATGAATAGAGAAGACCATTTTTTATTCTTAATAACTTATACTTGCAAACGAATAGAACACAATTTGTTTATCAAACCAAAGCAAATATTTATACAATCAGAGTCCTCAAAATTGAGGATCAATTTTTAGGATGAATCTTCTAGAGATATCCAAATTAGCTACTTGTCTTCTTTGGAAATAAGTCCGTTACTAATGCTTCCTCAGCCAACCAGTTGGAAATCCACACAGTATTCTTTGAAAGACAAGCACAGAAAACCAACTTACTTCCTGGAGCAAATGGGAGAGGGATCTAAAAATCCCAGCTATTGAGGTAATGTAGGGTGGACTAGGATCCCTGTTTTTTAATAACAAAGAAAGACAAAAGGAGGGGGAAAGAGTAGGTAACTTGGCTTGATGTGAAAAATATTCATTGAAGTCATTTACATACTATTACTTTACCTAATTATGGCAAAGCCTTAGGGATTATTCACATCATTAAATATGTCAAGTTAAATTATTCGATTGTAATACAAACCTCCTGTTTAGAGTCTCTCAGTATTCATACTTTGTTGCTCATATAGTTGGGTTATATGCTCACAGGTTTTAACATAAGATGAAGGAACAGTGCTGGACTGGGAACTGGAGGACAAAGTTAGAGGCACAGTTAGAGGCAAAGGCAATGGCGGTGAATATGACCAACAGCTTCACTGTCTATTGAGCCAGTTTATAACATCTTGGGGAAGGAGAGGCATCTTACAGGGAACTTTTTAACAGTCTCTTTGCATACCTATTTACAATTTAGTTTCTGATTCTCATTGTACTTAAATTCATGATTTTGTTACAGTCTGTATTCCTAAAAATGCATACTAAGGTTGAGTGTGTAGAAATTGAGTAAATTTAAATTATAATGAGTGGTTCTGTTTTTGGCGAATGAAAAATTTCACCCCATCATTTAGAGATATTCCTTGATAACATGGTCCCCATGCTTCATACAAATTTTTCATTTTCTTCTTTTACACACAATCATTTGTGGATGTTCAATGAACATTCAATGAGGATTTAAAACTTGCCATTTTTGACTTGGCACTCCTGATCATTTCAGGCCACATCTCAAGTGTGCCACATTTATGAAACCCAGATTTATCATAAGTACTTTCAATTTTATGTTTTCCACTTATTTTCCTACAAGAATAAAATGCCATAAAATATTCCAATATTACACAGTGATGTGCATACAAAGATGGTGACACCATTGGCTAGCAGTAGGTTTTGTCATGTGACTGATCTAAATATTTATCAAAGAATCTAAAAAAAATTAAATTTGGCATCCAAAAGGAGGCTTAGAGGCATTAAATATTTTTAAAAGTATAGCTTTATCAAGATCAAGCATGCTTAAAATAGAGACTGTCTATAAATAAGAGGAATACCAGTCTTATACTTCTTGTTCTTTTATCTCATATTTCCTTATATATCTCATATTTCCCAGATAAGTGACAAGGAGAGTAAAGGGACCATTCCAAAACAGCTACCATGTGCCAGGAATTGTGGTAGGTAATTTGCACAAATACTCTTCAAGGACAGTGCCAATAGTGCATTTTATGTCAGGAAAAAAAAGAAAAACAAAAACCCAAGATCCCAGAAGCTGTTAACTTCACTCAATCGTTGTTTGCTGAACTGAGGAATTTGCCTGAAAAAGAATCATTAATCATTAGAAGAGGACTCAATAAAACTGTACTTAAATGGATCTTTAATAGTATAGTTTTTATATCTTTGTGTGGGATGGAGAATAATTTCATGTAGGACCATCAGATTTCTGATAATTTTTAAAGAAATGGGTCTGATACTAATTTTACTGTATATTTAAGCATCAAAATAAAGACCTGTGTTTTCAAAGTAGATTTATATGCTAAGGACTCAAAATTAATGATATATCTAAGGCTCTACATTCTCTGCACAGATTTCCCCAACCTGGTGTTAATAACAAGCTTATAGTAAAACAGAGGACTATCTCTATTTTAAGTTCTTCCTTCTTCTTCTGACCCCTCAGCAAAGTGAAAGTCAAGGATCCCCCCCTGTCTCCTATGGCCAGAACTAAGATCTATAAAGGAGTCAGAGCAATAAGTGGGATCCCTGGCATGCCAAGCTTTTGGTTTCCATTTAGATGTTCTTTGGCAAGCATACTGAATTATAAATGCCCCAAATACTTGATAGTCCCATACCTGGGAGATATGGAAAAAGGAAACTTCTAGAAGGTCAATAGTCACTGAACACATTTCTACATCTGGGCATCTTTTGAAGGAGAGAGCTTGGCCATTTGGATATGGGAAGTGTGATGATCTGGAATCAGCAGGTCCAGATTCTAGACCCACCTCTTCCTCTAACCAATTGAGTACTCTTGGCTCCAGGCTTCAGTGAAATTAGATTTTCCTTCTATCTAAAAGGAGTTAGGACTAATCCCTCTCTAATCCCCTTGAGTTTGCTGTATGTGACCAGCCCTGGCATTTAAACACCCTCCTGAAGCTACAGAAAAGCTGAAGAATCATTTAAAAATTAGGTACTGTAAGTCTTAAATCATAACCACAGAAGTTAGATTGGACTAGCAAATAAGTAAGACCTAATATAAGTGCATTTCTGTAAAATCACTTGTACGTTTCTGATCAATCTTCTCAGGCTCCTGACATGTCAAATTAGTCCAGTTCCAATTAAGTCGTCATCCTCTTGGCAAACAAGGATGTGGATCAATAGATGATGGTGAATGAAGTTCTTAGTTTTTTGATTCTTTGTGCCTTAATAATATCTTCTTCAAGGTAAGCCCAAACCAGCAGGGCCACAACAATATCAGTGATGAGAGTGGGTCTTAGGGTCAGCAGTCAGGCCATGAAACTCAACATGAAGACATCATTTTAACAGGCTGAAAACTGCAAGTCTCAAAGTCTGGAAGGAGGTAGCCTTTAAGAGGTGGAATCAGCGACCTCTGGGTGGAACAGGTGGAGGAGGATGGAAGGTCTCCCTGGTCGGAGGCCTGAAATGAAAGACAAAGCAATTATGATCAAACAGATTTGATGAACTACTTCTTAGGAATCCATGATTTGTTGCAAACTTGGTATACTACGTACGGTATACTATGCAAAGGACACATCCTTCAATTAATAAAACTGGAGACACATACAGACCTTTCAGTGGCATACATGCTAATCTGTGGATTGCAATCCTAGCCAACATGAGAATCACTCCAGGTGGGGGGCTTTAAAAAATACCAGTTCTCAGGCTCAATCCCAGACCTATTCCATCATAACCTCTGGAGGATAAGGCTCAAGCATGACAACATGTAAACAGTGTTCCTCCTTCAACCAGTTGTATTAACCATGTGGTTTATTTTGTGAAGCTTTGACATCCAGGTCCTGGCTGATCCTGGAAGACCTGCCCCTCTGAGGGTAAGCTAATTCCTCTAAACAGCCTACAGTTTGCACACATTTCACATGCAAACTAACCAATCCAGAGTCCATATCCCAATCATCTCCAGTATTGGGACTCTCAAAGTCCAGGCTTCTATCCACCTGCCCTAATCACCCCAGGGCCAGGTGCCAGGCAACTGGAGACAGCCCCTGAGCCCAAGACCCTGCAGAAGTTACTCAAACTAGCCAACCCTAAACCTGCCTAGCCTGCCTCACTGGTTCCTTCCTGCAGAGCCCACAAGAAAAGTTCCTGCCCATCTTTCTCCGCCTCCTGCCCTTTCTCATGCCTAAACCTGGGGCTTTCCTGTGTGTCCCGCCCCAGCATAATGTGCCCGCCTCCTCTTGAGATCTAGGAGTATAACAAACCACCTATTCAATGGCAATTGTCTCCTGATATGCTGACCTTGCCACACCTAAATAATAATAAAATCAATATTTTAAAACTCCAGTGATTCAAATATGCAGCCAGGCAGCAGACACACTGCAGTAGGGAGATCCCTTGAGACCGGACTTAAGAATTTCTGAAGTCAGCTTCTCAAAACTACTTCTACTTGGGATCACTCAGTGTTGTCTCAACTCCCCATCCGCTTTCCTAGAGGCCTCCCTCCACATTAGCCTAGGTGGTTTTTGAACAATGCTAAACGACACTCCAGATAGACCTGGTGGAATGTATTTACAAGAGGTTCAACAATCGAGATGGTATTTCCATACTATAAAACCAATATTTAATTCTTTTGGAAGCAAGTCAGTAAGTCAAGAAAGGGTGCTTTGTCAAGTGCTGTAATTGAACTGTGCTACCCTGGAACTGCATACTTGATTGAATGAATCGATGAGTAAATATTTATTAAATGTCTCTTGAATGCAAGTTTTGCGTAGGTCAAGGAAATAAAGGAGTTGGGAAAAGATGGGCCATCTCAGAAGGCAGAGATGGAGGCAGAAGTAGAAAAGAATAACAACAGATATCCTCAAGAGGTCCTACAGTGGCACTTGGGAGTAGATGGTTTTGTGTGGTTGTCTCTTTATCCAGAGAAAACAGACAGACTCCTTCCATTGCCCCAACCTGCCCTATGAACCGTGAGCTTACAGGAGAAAGCTGAAGAACCCTCTGGTGTTACCAGTTATCACCTAAGAGAGCTAAGGCTGGCTTGATGGTTTCTTTCCTTCCTCTCAACAAACATATATCTACAATGCATTAACCTCTGGTGTGGGATATAACAGTAAGTAAAGTGGGCATTGATCCCACCCTCAAAGTGCTGAGACTATAATGGATGAGACAGACAATAGGGAAAGTCAGTGCACTGTACCAAATGTTTTGTTAGGGGACGTTCGTAACCTATGAACACATGGCAGAGGCATTCATGCACACATATGAAGGACAAGGTCAACAAGTTCAAATTTCTCTGTTTCTCATCTGCTAGACAGAGGTAAAGATGCCCACGCTGGAGTAATGTGTGCCACCTGGAGATGACAGGTGGAAGACGGAGAGCACTTTCTGGCTTAGAGTAGCTTTACTCAAGAGGTAAAGCTAATAATTTTATTATTTGTGGTTAAAGACCTGTTCTTAGACCTTTTCCCCATGTATGCCCCATGAGCCTTACATTTTACCTTCCATCACAAAGAGAGGCATGATTCCCTCCTGGTCACTCTTCCTCTGTTGACCCACTCTGCAATTGAGCAGGTCTGCAAGCAAATCTGGAGAAGGAAATGGCAACCCATGCCAGTACTCTTGCCTGGAGAGTTCTGTGGACAGAGGAGCCTGGTGGGCTGCTGTCCATGGGGTTGCACAGAGTCAGACACGACTGAAGCAACTTAGCATGCATGCATGCATTGGAGAAGGAAATGGCAGCCCACTCCAGTATTCTTGCCTGGAGAATCCCAGGGACAGAGGAGCCTGGTGGGCTGCTGTCTATGGGGTCACACAGAGTCAGACACGACTGAAGCAACTTAGCAGCAGCAACAAGCAAACCATTTCCATACTTCTTTCTGATGAACAGCCCAGCTAAGGATTGGAAGCCCTGTCTTTGGGAATGGATTTGTGATTATAGACATAGCAGAACCACGGAAGTAAAGTGTATCAAATCAGAACCGAGGGGCGGTCTGTGGGGAAATGGCCTCCGAGGACACTGGGAAGCTGGAGTTGGACAGAGGATTGTCCAGTCCAGAGACCTGGGCACTGGTTGCTCTCTCCTCCATGCTGAGGAGATAACTCTGGTTCAAGAACCCAGCAATCCTAATGTTGGTTAACATTCTTTTAAAGCAGGTCTGTTATTTAGACAGTATGCTTTTGTATGATCACAGCATTGTTAAAAAATATTTTTAAGCTTCCCTATTAGTAAATAGCCTCAGGTCCAAGTCCCCTTACTCTCTGACCACTCCCCCTGCTCCTGCCTAGAGATTCCACAGATATTTTTACACGTGAAAGTCGCTCAGTCGTGCTTGACTCTTTGTGACCCCGTGGACCATACAGTCCATGGAATTCTCCAAGCCAGAATACTGGAGTGGGTAGCCTTTCCCTTCTCCAGGGGATCTTCCCAACCTGGGGATCGAACCCAGGTCTCCCACATTGCAGGCGGATTCTTTACCAGCTGAGCCACCAGGGAAGTCCAAGCAGCTAAAAGGTTAACTCTTGGTACTCCAGGAAGCCTTCAGAAATATGTTCTGGTCCGTCAGCACCTAGGCTGTGCCTTCAAGGGGAGTGCACAGAATGTTGTGCTGGGCTCACAGTGCTCAGTTGTATCTGACTCTTTGCGACTCCATGGACTAAAGCTAACCAGGCTCCTCTGTCCATGGAATTTTCTAGGCAAGAATCCTGGAGTGGGTTGCCATTTCCTTCTCAAGGGGATCTTCCCGACCCAGGGGTCGAACCCGCATCTCTTGCTTCTCCTGCATTGGCAGGAAGATTTTTTTTACCACTGCACCACCTGGGAAGCCCATAGTGATTGGCAAAATCACTAGTAAACAGCAAAATATATTCAAAAACAAAGGAGCAATGTCTCAGCAAGATATTGGCTTTTTTTTTCTCTACTGGCAGGACTTTATACCTATGAAGAATGTGACACTGTCAGCTGCCCACTCTGTGGGAACTGCAAGGAAAACGCCATACAAGGATATAATGCATCTGCTCCTGTTCATGTCACCATCTGCCTTCCCTAACTTTGAAGTCTGTTGGGAACTTACAGCCAGTGGGAATGTGAAGCTTCTTTCTACTGATCTGTAACCCACCTGCACTGTGGTACACGACTTGATGGCTAGCTGTCAACCCAACCAGTACCAGTCTATCATCTGCCCATTCACTTACTTGCATGATAAATATTTGCTAAGTTCCTAGCATGTGCCAACTACTGAGTTAACTCCATATTGTATTGGGGAGAGTAGAAAAAACTTTTTTAATCAAAACAATCTTTATCATTTTGAGGTTTACCATCTACTTGGGGAGATAGATAGCAAACAAGGGCCATGATGTGGAGTGAGTTATAATAGAGGTATTTGGGGAACACAGAAGGTACACGCTGCAGAGGAACATCAGGGGAGGCTTCAAAGAAGAGGTGAGGTTTTGACATAGTCCTAAAGGATGTGTAGGAATCTTCTAGGCAAAGATTGGAAAGGAGTAGGAAGACAGCATTCTAGGCAAAAGGAACAGATTGGGCAAAGACTGTACAAAATGGCACAGCTCACTAGGAATGCTTAAGGGGTGGAATATCAATGAATACAGGAGAAAGATGGGACTTAGGGCTACAGCATGCTAAAAAAATACAGAAGTAAATGCAAGGCTTTTATGTCAGGAAGTGACATCATCAGCTATTTCTGTTCTAGAAAGTGCACTCTTGTGCAGTGTGGAGGAGGGACTGACTGGAGGCAGGGAGGTAAATGCAGGGATGAACTTAGGCATGGGCAGATGGAGAGGAGGGGGTGGAGCTGAGAGTTTCGAGGGCAGCAGAATGAACAGAGCCTGGGGAGCTGCAAAGGAGCAATGGAGGCTGCCTCCGGGGTTAGGGACTTGGGGAAGAAAGAGAGGCATGTCATGTCTCTGGCTGGGAAGTCATGAGAAGAAGGCAGTTCAGGGCAGAGGAAGGCAGGTGGGATGATGAGTTCAGTTTTTGCACCCATGTTTGAGATCTCTGGGACCCCTGGTGAGGTCCCCAGTGAACAGCAGGAAATAGAAGGCCAAGGTAGAGATGGAGATGGACTTGGAGCTGACAGTTCAAGCTCCAGGGACAGCATGCAGAGTGAGGAGAGGAAGGGACCAGGACTGGAGACAGTGATGAGCGGGATGTGCTGTTTGGGGAAGGCAAGTTCAGGAAGAGGGGGAAGAGTTGCCAGTTCCCAGATCTGGAAGTGAAGTGAAGAATATTCAGTCAGCCTCCCCTCTTATCCATCAGTGGGTCAAGCATTCAGGACAAAGGCCCATGTTATTCGTTGCTCAAACATCTCCTCATTTTATTATGAACGTTATATACAGTTTCAGAACAACTGCATCTTTTCCAATCTTCACACCAAAAATGCACCCAAACCCTTTTTCTATCAATTACAGATTTCTTTGTAAACATCATTTCTTTAGTCAAATGTGTTTTCCTCCTTTTTCTCTCCCTATCTTTATCACAACATGCTTCCAGAATCTCCCAAACAATTCAACTGCCATCTCTCTTTATACATTAAATGCATCCCCGTTTCCAGTCTTTAATTTCTGGAATCCACTTCCCTAGTTGTTTTCTCTCCTGCAAGACAAAGTTCCACAGAGTCTTTGAAGTTCTACATTCAAGACTGACATTCTTTTTAATCTTGGAACAATTAGATAACTCCCTCCTTTACCTTCAAGAATAAAAGGTCCTAGATCTTAGATCTTCTCCCATGACACCTGGACCTCCTTGGACATGTATAACACAATGACTAAACAACTGGACCTGGAGTCAGGCACACTTAGGTTTATCACACAGATAAAAAGTCTCCATCCAGTCTCAAGCCCCAGTCTCTATCTCTGTAAAATGGGATAACTCTAAACATCTACCACTTGAAATTGTGGAGAGAATTAAATGAGTTAATGTATTTAGCGAGTTTACCAGAATGCTCAGCACATAGTAAGTGCCAATAAATACAAGCATTTATTACCATAACCGCTCTCCATAAACATCCCTCCCCAGTCACCAACTATATATAATTTTCAAGTAACAGAACATAATGCAAATTCAGCAGACAGGACTAGATTATCACAAGTTCCTTCTAGGGCTAATGCTCTAATATGTGACCTCTAGTCTGTAACAGAGAAACATGTTTGGTGAGTGTGAAGCATTTTGGGACTGTGGGAGGTTTTTTAGCAAGTGTTAGTACGTGAATGTTGCCAGGAACTCACAGAAAAGCCGCAACAGCAAAGACAGAAATGGAGAGATCCTCAGTGCAGAGTCAGCTGCTCTTTCCAGAAAAACAGAAGAAAAACCTCCCTGTGGCACTTTCTCAACAAATCTCACTGATTAGGTTCATTTGAGTTAAAACATTCAAAATGTAAAAAAAAGAAAACAAACAAACAAAAAAACCTAGTTAATCACCCCTTACCCACACACTGTATTTTAGACATCAAAGAATTAAACTCCTAAGACAAACCTAGACTTTTATTCCCAAAGGTTCCTTTCTGCCTTAGCAGACAGTTACACAAGCTAACTTTAACCACCTTTTCAGTGATTCCATAAGACCTTAAAAGGGTTCCTGCTAGAAACCAGAACACAAACATACATCAGAGCCCCATAAGTCTTTTGTCTAATGCCCAGCCTCCAATCTCCATAGGCTCATCCTTCTGTATAAAGAATCACACACACACACACACACACACACAAAAGAATCACACAGACAGTTGTGCTCTCATTTAGGGCCAGAAACTCAATCCTTACAACTCTATGAGGAAGTCCATTTATTACCTCCATTTATTGGACACAGAAATAAAGTCTCATGAAAGTTAAACAATTCATCCATGGACACAAGTGGCTGCCGGGGTCTTCCCAGGTGATGCTTTCCCACTCCCACACCATACTGTCTCTCACCTGCATTTTTATCCCCAATTCCTTCTTATCTCCTGGTCCTCCAGAAGCACTGTCCCCGCAATACAACCAAGGGAATTAATTATTCAGGAGTTGAATTCTAGCGAAACAGATTTTTAAAAATATGCAAAATGTTGACCTTTCCCAGTGTATTTCACTGACAAAATATTGAATTTGTTACTTAGAGTCTGCAACTGCATAAAGCATCACTTAAGTGAATGAAGAGTCCACGTTGAAATGTGTCCAAAGTATGCAGTTCAGTGAGCTTAGCTCTGTACTCACTCTTAGATCACCTTAGACGTCCCCAGCCCCTACTCTGCCCTGAGACTCAATGAGCTAGGAAAAAAAATGTTCTGTCAGCTTCCTTGTTACCTCTGTGAGGCAGCTCGGGGTGGCACCCTAGGGGGCCTCTCAAGGGGCACGGTGGGCATGCTGTCCACTTGTGAGGGGCCTGGACTACGACTCCTGGTAACCTCGGGAGCTTCATTATCCTACAGCAAAAAAAAAAAAAAAGAGAGAGAAGGCTGAAAATTACATTAAGCAGCGGCACAGCGGGACAGAGCCACCCCACAAGCTCCTCTGCTCTCCCCAGGCTTCGGCGGAAGGTCACTCACTGACGAAAATCTACCCAGCAACACCGGGGGCAGTTTTCCACCGACTCTGACAACCAGGGTCACAGAAGAGACAATGGGACCTGAGTTATTGATATTACTAGTGATCTGAGCTTGCCTTCCTTGCTGCCCCGCGTAATTCGCGGGGACCAAAGAGTGTGTGGCCTGGGGGTGATGTCCGGGGGTGGGGGGGGACACAGGCCACCAGCCCCGGGTCTGCATGCCTGCTGCTCCTGACCCAGGCCTAGAAAGGCGACCACCACCCCTGGATTCCCAGATACTAACCCAGTTCCCTCTCACAGACGCCCCTTTTGGTTTAATCCTCTCGCTCCTTTCTTCCCTCCCTCCCTTTTTTTCTTCCCCTCTTTTTATTGTTGGGAAATCAATATAACATAAAGTCATCATTTTCAAGTGAACGATCAGTGCCATTCAGTACGTTCACAATATCGTGCAACCACCATCTCTGTCTAGTCCCCGGACATTTTCCCGACACCCCCTAAAGGAAACACTGTATCCCTTAGGCAGTTTCTCCCCATTTCCCCTATCCCCAGCTTCTATCTCAGTGGATCTACCTATACTGGACGTCTCATATAAATGGAGTCCCACAATGGGTGACCTTTTGTGTTTGGCTTCTTTCTCTTGGATTTCTCTTTCCTGCAGTGAAATGACTGCTGAGACAAAGACCTATGAGGGTAGGGGTGCCCCAGCTCTCACCTCATTGTCCCCCTCCATCCCGCTGCTCACACTGAGGAGGCTCCGGGTGCTGGACCGGTTACTCGCGCTGCCTGAAGGGTACAAACAGAGTCAGCTGGACTGTGCAGGCTCTCGAGATGAGGTAAAAGGCAAAAATCTAGCACTTACTGATAGAAACAGTACATAAGCTGTGAATACGGAATTCTTCAAAACGCTGCTATCTAATAACATACCATTATTAGAGTTCAGTTTTTCTTTCAGCATAAAAATGGGTTATCTTTTATGACCACTTTTTGCTTTCTAGCTACCATTTACCGAGAGCTCACCCGACGTTATACGCTTTAAAAGCATGACTGCATTTAATCCCTAGGAAAACCTTATCTGATACTAGTGCTTCAATTTGACAGACTAGGAAGCAGAGATGCTCTGTTTCTCACCTGTTCAGTGATGTTTCTTAAATCTGCAAAGTTGTTACTAAAGTTTTTTACCTATTTAGGAATTACACGTGCAAGTAGCACACGTATATGCATACCTTCTAAAAGGGGGCCAGTGTGACGCAAAACAAAACACAAAGCACAAATTCAGAAGTATAATTTACACACCAGATAGGAACTTTGACTGTGTGAGTTCAGCTGATTAGAGATGTAAGCTGAGGATGTATCACCTAAATCACTGAAACAGCATTATCCAGTTGAGTTTTCTGGAAATGTTCTGTTGTGTGCTGTTCAGTTTGGTAGCTGATGTGACACAGAGCAGCTGAGGAACTGCATTTTAAATTTTATTTCATTTTAATGAACAGATTTACATAGTCACCTGCAGTTATGGGCTACTGTACTGGACAGGAGAGCATTAGAACAAGCTCAAGGACTTGATGGTCTGGCAGTGAAGAAGGAAGGTTAACAGTTAATCAACTAAAACTTTGACTTTAATTTTTCCAACATATGCTGTTACCAGTATTGCCAGCACTTAGGTTTAGCTGAATGTTCACTCAAAATAGCTACTTACATTAGTTTATAGGTAAATTGTCTTAGTTTTGACTTCATTATGGCATCAACTTTGACCTAATTAATTTAGATACCAGCTTGACAAAAGCAAGTTGAGATTATAATTTTGGATTATTTCTTGGAGGCAGATTTTTAAATTTAAGATAATGTGTCAAAATATTTCTAGAAACCAGGGGATTCAGAGTTTGTTTCAGAGTTAAGGACCACACGACCCTGTCTCTGTCTACCTAGTTACCCACATATAACACTGTTTGCTCAGCTAGAACGTCCTTTCCTTCCCACTTCCCCAGCCCACTCCATCCACAAATTTGAAACCTCCTCAGGCTCCAATGCTCAGGACAAATGCTATCAAAATCTTTCCTGATTCCCCCAAATGGAAGTAACTCCTCCTGTGCATGGGCTTTCATCCCTGTAGGGACAAGCCTCCCACGTCATTCATCCTTGTTCATCTTATTCCTTTACAACGAAACAGACTCCTTCCAAAGATTATCTGCTGGGAGGGAGCAAAAAGGTGTCCAGGAGCTGATTCTAGGATCCTGGAAATTCATATCCACCAGCTCCCACTATCCTTTCCCTTGGTGTTGTTGAATTTTTAACCTCCAGTGTTTGACTTTGAACTCTCACTCCTGGTTTATTTGCCCTGGCCCTCTCCCTTCTCCAAGGCTGATGACCTGGTTGGCCCCAACCCACCTGGATGGCACCGTTGGTAGGAGGTTCTGGCCCTGGCCCCCCATCACATTCACTCTTGTTGGGGGAAAGGGGCAGCGCCCATGCCTTGCCAGGCTTCTGTCACCAGGGAGGCAGGATCAGACAAGCCTATAACATGTACTCTTTTTACACTTTCTCTCCTCCATTACAAGCTCCCAGAGGACAGACCCTGTTTCTTTTTCGGCTTTATGTCTCTAGTGTACAGTCTAGCTTCATATGCACAGAGCAGTCCTCAATATTGATGGAGGTATGAATGAGAGAAGAAAAATGATCATGTATATGACTCTTAAGAAACTTGAATCAGGCAAACTAGAAGAAGCTCAATGGTCTTCCTGTAATGAAACTTTTGTTCTCTTAAACATAACACTAATATCTTGTGCTTAAAACTTTAGATATAACTAGATTTAACCTGAAACTGTTTTCCTATAGTTTCCAAGAGATGACAGCTGCAGCACAATAAAATAGTGCTGTTTTTAGGGCATGGTTCTGGGGCTTGAAGGGCTGCTGGTGGCTCAGAGCGGGACTATCTTCATTCTCTCTCCTTGCCCTGTGAACTATCTCTCTCTGGAAGGAAATATGTCCCCAATGTTGAGTACACAGAAAGATCTGTATGTGAATCCCAGATCCTCTGCTTAATTTTCAAGTGACCCAGGATTAGATGCTTAACCTACGTCTCTGTTTCCTGATCTCACAGCACTATTGTATAGAATGAGATCATATGGTAACATGCTTGGCACAGAGCCTGTAAGAGCAAGCATTTAATTAACTATAGCAGCTATCATCATCATCATCATTCAATTTCAAGATGGTAGATTATCTATTAGTGACTCAAGGACCCCACCTCCAATATCCACACCTTTGTACTGCCTCCTCCTCATCTCCTTCTTGGCTTAGCCATGGGACTCACTTTGGCCAATATGACATTATCGAGTGTGATGTAAGGCAAAGCTTGATAAGCACTTGCACACCGGGGCTTGTTTTTTTGGAATGCTCCCTTTATGGATCTTGTTACCACACAAGAAGTTCAGGCTATTGAATTAGAGGCCATATATAGAGAGGCCCTGAAGAATGAGAGGCCATCATGGATGCTCCAGTCCATGCCAAGCTTACAGCTGAGTACCGTTGCACAAGTGACCCCAACTGACCACATGGGGCAGAGGTGAACCATCCCCACTGACTCCTGGCCAAGTTTAGAATCAGGCATAAATAAATGATTATGTTTCAAGCCATTGCATTTTTGGACAGTTTGTTACACTGCAATAGATAACTAAATAACAGGGACCGGATACAATCTACAGCCACAGAGTAAAATAAAACCCTCTGGTCTGTCATTTAATAAATTTTCTTACCCAATAGCTAGCAATCCCAGGCAGTAAACCACCACACAAGGTAAAAACCAGAGTTTATGCTTTCCATTCTATTCTCACTCCAAGGTAACTCAAAGTAAAACATACAGATAAAATAGTTTAAATGAATCGAAACCTGAAATGAGTATTCTGCGTTTATCTTGTTAAATTTCCCCTTCCCTTACCCCAGAAAGCCCTGCCTTCACCCCCAGAGTGTCTACACCACTTCTCTCCTCCACAACACATCTAAGATGGGCTGCCTGCCCCTTGCTTCCTCTGCCATCTGTGATCTCTGGGAAAATCTCTTCCATTTCTGAACTTGTCAGAATTCTCTAATTTGCCTCAAGGGGGTAGTATATATTATTAACCTCATTATATAAGGGGAAATTTTCTTCTCTATCAAGTCTAGACTTAACATTGCTGTGTGATACGCTTTGGGTATGTTTCAACAGGTAACAGTGGCAGAGGGAAGAGCTGGGTTCTACTCCTATTGCCACTGACTGGCTGTGGGACGTGGGGCAAAATTCTTTCCCTTTCTGGATTACAAATACTCTGCTAATAAAGTAAGGAGGAGGAACAGTTCAGGGGCTCTTGGCCTAAGTCCACGGATGGGCAAAATTGTGTGTGTGTGTGAACACGTGCAAGTGTATTTTTATATAGGGAGGACATTTAGAGCATATGTCAGGTTCTCAAAGGGGTTTGTGGTACATAAAAGATAAAGAAGCCCTGGGTTAGATGAGCTTCCAGTTCCTACCTCCACATGGCAGTCTTCCACCTGACATTTAAGGAGAAATATTAGGTCATGAAATTCAGCTTGTCTCTCGCTCTTTTATTTTTTCCCCCTAGCCACCTTTGTTAACACTGAAATGTATGAAAGCAGGGAAACTCAATCTATTTGGCTTGTGAAGCTGGTGTGTCTGAAGTGAGTGAACATTGCCCTGGATCCAGAAACAAAGCCCCAGCTCCTGCCGCACATCAGCGGGTATTGTCTGTTGCAATCAGACTCCTATTCAAGCTCTCAAGTCAAAAGGAAGACATTTCCAAATCAGATCCTCAATTGCCTATACAGTTGGAATTCTCAAATCTGAATCCACTGTTACCTAATGTTTTTGACTCTGTGCCCTTTCCTTTCCCTGACCACGGCTGAAGCAAAAAGAAGAGTAAGCAAGAGTCTTGACCTTGATCCAGTCCTGCCTGAGTTCAAATCCAAGCACTACCCCTTGGTGGCTATTTAACCTAGAGGAAGGCACTAAGCTGCCTGTTTCCTCCTCAGTAAATAGAGGAGATAGTACCTATCCTGCAGAGTGATTAAATCAGACTGTGGAAGAGGCTTAGCATATAGTAAATGCTCAATAAATATTAACCAGTATTATTACTAGGGTTTTTCATTTATAAAAGTGATAGAGTAATAATTATCACACAATCTGCCTTCTGGGGATATTTGTGTAAACAGTCTTCTGTGCCCTAAAAAAACCGCAAACCTCACAGGCTAAATGTCCCTCTTTTCTTACACCTCCTAGGCCCAAACCAGGCTCCAGTTAAGATCTTCTGGGCTCATCATAGGGCATGTTTCCAAGACCCAAAGGCACCTGCTGGAGTCCAGCTGTGAAGGCACCTGGGGGCCAGCTGTGAAGACACCTGGGGGCCACCTGCTTACTTGCTGTGCTGGAGGTACTGTCTGTTTTCCAGTCTCCTCGTCTTAGCTCTGTCCTTGGGGGAAAGATGCTTTTCCTGGGGCCACTCTCATAGACTCCATACTCCACTTTCCCAGGCAGGTGCTGTGAGTGCCGAATTGGGACTGTGATCTCCAAGTCTGGAATTAGAGAGAAAGGGATCAGCTTTAAGGAACCGGGATGCCAGTTACCAAACTGTGAAGCTGCTTCCTCTCTACCGGCTTCCTTCCCCTGAACCTGGAGGGGAGGGGAAGGAGAGGAGGGGAAGAGGGGACGTGAGGGGACCCTGTCCAATTCAGCACCGAAGCTCCGCAGAACCATGCGTGGCAATCACTGACAGAAGGTTGGCTGGAAGAATGCGGGAAAGGGCAGAGAAATGCTTTTGCATCAGGTAACAGAAAGAATGTGCAATTAGGGAAAGGTTGGTGGCTCAGACTGTAAAGAATTCATCTGCTGTGCAGCAGACTGGGGTTCAATCCCTGGGTTAGGAAGGTGCCCTGGAGAAGGGAATGGCCACCCACTCCAGTATTTTTGCCTGGAGAATTTAATGGACAGAGGAGCCTGGCGGGCTATAGTCCATGGGGTTGCAAGGAGTTAACATGACTGAGAGACTAACACGTTCGTGGGTGCCCCAGCTCTGCCACTTGCCAACTGTGGAACTTGAGTTAGTCAGCCAACCCTTCTGATTTCTTCCTTTTCTAAGGAGCAGTTACGAATGCCATTGATTATAATACTAGGTTATCCTGCATGTCATGCATAGTTCCAAGAGCCTCCATACTCTTAGCTTCTTCAATCCTCCAACAGCCATGAAATAAATACTATTGTCAGCATGCTCAATAGAAACTAAGGTATAGAGACGTGAAGCAGCATGCCTCAAGTCCCCGTCAAGCAGCTGGTAAGTAGGATAGCTGGAATGTGAACCCAGGCTCCTAAGTCCAGGGCCTTAAGGACTCAGACTGCCTCCCATATGGAGGGTGGGTGGTCCACAATGACAGAAATGATCCAGAGAATTCATGGCAAGAGGTCCATAAGGTCCAAAAAATTTTGTGACTTGCAAGGCTGATCAGTAGTTTGAGACCGCACAGATTCAGCAAAATAATTCCTTTGTCCTGCAAAGCATTAACCTGGCCTCTTCACTGGTTTAGTCTGACCAGTGACTGGTCTTTCTTCCCCGCCCCACTGCCACCCGCCCCCCCTCACCCTGGGGATTTCCACCCCTGGTTGCTATGAGCAGAGAACAACTCCAGCTGACAAGTAGAACAAAGTATCTGTGGGTGCCCAACCCAGCTTCCTCCCCAGGGAAGTGTGAAAGCCAGCTGAGCTCCTGTCACAGCACTCCCCATGAGGCCCCAGACCTTCCCAAGTCTCAGGGCAGAGACTCTAGGAAGAGGTGTAAGTGTGGGTGGGCTTTTGGGTATGTGTGCCCTTCATCTCAAGGAACTACTTGCTCCTCTGCCTTCCCTCTGCTAGGGAGCAGGTGTGGCAGGAAGTCTAGGGAGTGTGGCACCTGCCAAAGCCAGAGGTCTGCCAAGAAAGGTGAACATGTAAACTAGCACAGCAGGGAAGAGTGGGGGTGACGATGGGGTGGATGGAGCATGTGCTCAACATTCTGCATGGAGAGTATTAAAACAGTGGATTGCTGGCTTGCATGGGCTCGAGTTTGCCTCATTCTAGAAACCCTCAACCCAAGGGTAGTGTATGGTCCTAGCTTTCCAGACCTCTGTGTAACACAGATCTTTTTCACATCCTTAGCCTCTTTTGGTTATAACTGAGCAGTGGAAGCACCCACCGCTTGGGTGCCCAAGCTTGGAAATGCATGGGCAGAGACTAGTCAGTGAACCCACACATGGGTGTGAACCCACAGTGTCTCAGAGCCCAAACTGGTAACACATTTCTCCCCCTCAGCTTTGACTGAGGTTTTTAATGACAATCTTCAAGGTAAATTCGTGACTGCTTAATTCACTTCAGTGAATCAGTTTTCAGCTCACAACCAGTTTAAGGAAAGGTAAGTAAAATACAGAGGAAAAAAGTTGGGAGTCAAAGTTCAAAAAAATCAAGAAGAACCAGGCTAAATGTCCACAAAATGCTGATATTCTTTGAACAGAGGAACAATGTCAGGAAAAATAATTATCATCACTATACTGGGAAGCACTTTTCCCAAAGTGCATTCACATGTGCTAATATTCCTCCTCCGAACTTTGCTACTCTGGTAAAAGTGGGCTTTTCTGATGTTTCGGTAGTAAAGAACTCTCCTGCCAATGAAGGAGATGCGGGTATGATGTCTGGGTCAGGAAGATCCCCTGGAAAAGGAAACGGCAAACCCACTCCAATATTCTTGCCTGGGAAATCCCACAGACAGAGGAGCCTGGCAAGCTACAGTCCATGGGGCCACAAAGAGTTGGACACAATTTAGTGACTAAACAACAACTCTGTTAAGCAGATAAACCGGATGTGACCACAGATGGGGAAACTGAGGCATGAAGTGGTTAATGGAAAAGTCTCGGATCATGAAATGATTTGGAGACAAAGCTGGGATCAGAACCCAGGCTTCCTGGGACCCAGCCTGCTCCTCCAGGTCCCACCCTGCACTGACCACAGACACACCCAGAACACAAATATTGGTATTCTTCTCTGTGGGGCCAAGGCATTCAGTAAGTCCTGAGCCAGCCAGCCCTCTTCTGACTTCCTACACTATCAGTGCTCTGCACTGTCTCAGTGAGAGCAAACCAACTTCCAGGGCTGAGAACAGACTGGCAAATTATGAACAGACTGTCACTTCTTAATCGTCCTTGGTCTTTTAACCCAAATTAAAGAAGAATCATCATTGTTTTTCTTTTCTAAGGCAAATGAAGTTTCCAAATGAATAGAGTCAGTCCTTGAGTGGGGTGGCCTCCATTCCTGGAAAAGATTGTTCAAGCAGAAATGCCATTCATCAGCCCTAATTCTCCTATAGGTCAATGTTATCCTGTGTGGATGATTTTCAAATTTTTTTTTGTTTGTTTTCTGTAAAGCAGAATTCTTTCCTCTAAAGAAAACAGAAGCTCAAAATGGAAACAGATTTTTTTGTAAAGGAGTTGCAATGGTTGAAGCAGAGTAAGGGGCCCCAAGTCCTGTCCCATATTCTTAATCTACCCCCTACCCCATCCCTAACTGCCACCCTGTTCCTACCTGCTACCCCTACAAGCATGGAGGCACCAGTGCTGGGTCACCTGAATGTGAAAACCCTGGAATAGGCAATTTTAAGTTAGTATGTCACTAAATATACAATTGAGCTTTATGCAATTAACTAATACATCACATTTACTCAGCCACAAATGACTCCTTTGCTTTGGCAGGTGCTCTGATGCCCGGGGGCCTTGCCAGGTAGTGCAGGGTCCAGCTTCCACCTGCATGAGCTTTCTCTGGGAGCCAGATTCCAAACCCCCATCTCCCAGCAGGCCTCACCCAAAGACACAGGAGCTGGTGTCTAAATGCCCCATGGGAAAGATAACCATTCCAAAGTGTTCTCCGTTGACTCCTAGAGTCTGTGCGGAGATGAAGCTGCAGTCTCCATGGTGCTAAGTGCAGGCTGCTGGCCACCTTTTCTTCCTCTCTCACTTCCCCACCCCCTACCTTGCTCCCCAGGATCACCTCCCAAATCAGCTGTGGGTGTGTGTACTTAGTCGCTCAGTTGTGTCTGACTCTTTGCAACCCCATGGACTGTGGCCCAACAGACTCCTTGGGGATTCTCCAGGCAAGAATACTGGAGTGGGTTGCCATGCCTTCCTCCAGGGGATCTTCCCAATGGAGGGATAGGATCCACGTCTCCCACATTGCAGGTGGATTCTTTACCGACTGAGCCACCAAGGAAGCCCCACATGCCCTGCCAAATCACAGCTTTTTTGACACTACGTATATTTAAAAGCTTGAAATGTTTCATTCAGTCAAGTCTTCTTCTTCTTCTTTTTTTTTTTCAGCCATGTTGTACAGATTGTGGGGTCTTAGTCCCCTGACCAGGGCTCAAACCCATGACCTCCTACAGTGGAAGCATGGAGTCCTAACCACTGGACCACCAGGGATGTCCCATGGTTCATGTGTTCTGGTTTTAAAAAGCACCTCCGCCCTCTACCACCAGGTACCCTGCCGTCTGATCCTAGGATGAATACAGCTCTTGAACTAGATTTTCTTCCTCCTCTCCTTTGTCCTCTTCCCAACGAGAAGGCAGACAAGTATGAGTGTGGCTAGTGGCAGCACACATTTAAAACCTCGTCACCCAAGCAGGAGTCTGAGGATGACCCCTCTGACCTTCTGCCCACTCCTTGCCCAGGGATGGTGGTGCCACACGGGTAGCACCTGGAGGAGGGAGGGTCAAGGGGAGCAGAGGGTTCTCAGTGCACACAACTGGGATCCATGGCCCTGCTACTGGACCTCCACTACACATAGCAGGAGCTCTGCTGCACCTGAGATCCGGGCTTCCAAAGCAGCGTGTGGTGTGGACACTGATGACACAGTAGACCTGCTTGAACCAGATACTGACACTACATGAATGGGACTTTCTCCTTTCTCTGCTCAGAGAAACATGTCTTCCTAAATGCCAAGCGGACAGTCAGGTGCCTGGGAGAAAGCATTATTGTCCTCTTTCATGGGAGGAGGGAATCATACAGAGTTCAAGCTTTCCTTTCTTTCATTTGCTGACATGCCTTATGTGCCAGCCAGGTACTAGATTTACAGAATTAACAAGACAAAGTTGTTGTTCCAAAAGACATTACAGCCTACTGGGGGACCCAGATCTATAAAGAGGGTGACAGGTGCTGGGCAAGTGGTCTGCCCATTCTGGCCCCAGCGGAAAAGAGAGTCAAGGAAAACAGACCATAGCAAAGTCCCCCAGCATACAGCAGCCTCGGGAAGCCACATACCTGTCTGCTTTCCTGATTTTTGCTTTTCTCTCTGTCTTCGGGTGATGCTCTCTCTTAGTCGTTTAAGATTTTCCTGGAAAAATTTAGTTTGTTTTTAAAAATATACACCAGAATTATACCCTCTAGGCATTAGAGATTCTTTCTGATTTTATGACATTTGCAAGATATATCACATTGCAATAACATTTCCAACATGCAAATGAGGCTGAGTGCATTTGCAATCAGCTCCCAGAGAAATTCAAGTCCTCTTAGAAGCTATGCCTGAAGAGAAGACATCTTGCCCACAACAAAGGGTTTCCCCTCCTCTCTGGTTCCCAGTTCCTTCCCAGTCTTATAACCCACCCCCACCTTGCATGCCCCTTAGACAGGCCAATCTCCTACCTGCTTACAAGCTCTCTACCCTCATTCCCACCTCTGAGACCGTGTTCTCGTACATTCCCCCAACCTTGAGGGACACTGATTCCATGACTCGGTTCCAAGTCTGGATCAAGGCCCACCTTCTAAACCACCTCCCCTGACACCAGACTGTCCCATGCCCTGTGGCACTGGATTATGATGCCTTGCCGTGTGTGTGTGTGTGTGTGTGTGTGAGTGTGTGTGTGTGTGTGTGTAGTCTCTTCAGAGGCACTGTGAGCTCTTAAAGGGCAAGAGACCAGGTCTTGCACCTTCCTGTAATCCTACTGTTTAGGCTATCACAGTCATTCAATAAATGTTAAACAGACATGTGAGGAGGAATATTTGTTGTTATTTTAGTTCATAAACAACAACCACCTTGAAGTTAAGTGTCTGAAATGCCCCAGGGACTAACACTCAGACCATCTGGCTGGAGCAGAACGTTCCTGTGAGGCAGCCACAGAGGCAGAACAGAAAGACTGGTTGGGTTGCGACTGTAGCTGAGAGACTGAACTTGGTCCAGGAAGTAGCAGGGAGACACTGGAAGTTGGGGGCTGGCCATAGCTTTAAGGTCGGGCAGAGAGGAGGGGGAAGGAGTTGGAGGCAAGGAGACCCACCTGAAGACGATGTGATAGGGCAGATGGAGGTGATACAGGTCAGCATGAGGATGTGGCAGAGGGAGCGCAAAGACAGGAGCAGAGGCAAGAGGAAGAACGCACCGCGCAAGACCAAGCAAGACACACAGCTGGCTGGATACGGGGGAGTGTGGTAAAGAGCCCAAGAGAGTCTGAAGTCTGGACATCAGCCTCTGGAAGGTAACAATAGGTGAACAGACACAGGGAGTCAGGACAGGGAAGAGGCCTCAAGGGACTGTGTGTTGTTGGATGTGCTGCAGGTCTAGGATACCTCGGGGGACACGCCCAGCTGGTGGCTGAAAAGATGTTACCAGAGACACAGATGCAAGAGTCACCTGAAGAGAGAAGGAGCTGAAGGGAAAGTGCCTGCTCATGAGAGGGGAGGTGCGGGAGAGAGACAGAGGAAGATGGGGCACAACGGGGCGGCCCCTGGTATGGTCTTCCCACTGTCCAGTCCTTGGACTCCTTGGCTTTGTAAGTGCCAGGAGGCAATCAGAGCATGGAGGACTCTCAGCATTTACTATGTGCCAGGCATGCCAAGCGCTTCACAAGGCCCTCTCCCTTCACACTTCAGAGATGGGAAAGCAGAGGTACAGAGAGGCTGTGGTCGTCCAGTCCAAACAGGCGGAGTAAGGCTGAACTCAGGCTGCCTGGCTCTGGAGCCCTGGCTACTCCTGATGACCATGCTGCATGGCACCAACTTGGCAAGGACTCAGAAGACCAGTGTTTGGCCAAGACCAGCCTGTTCCCAGCAGTACTGCAGCCTCCCTGGGTCTCCTGGGTGAGGAGGGCCCTGGGTTTCTGCATCCAGACCCCCAGAGGGAGGGAGACAGGCTGGGAGAGAGGGTGACCCTGCTTTAGGAGCACTCAGAGGGCAGGCACAGCGTTGAGAAGGGGACACAGGCTCTGAAATGAGAAAGGTTTCCTTTGAAGCCTGACTCTGCCTCCCCACCTCTCTGAGCCTCAGATTTCTGTAAAGTGAAGTGAAAGTGTTAGTAGCTCAGCTGCGTCTGACTCTTTGCAACCCTACGGACAGTAGCCGACCAGGCTCCTTAGTCCACGGAATTCTCCAGGCAAGAATGGGTAGCCATTCTCTTCTCCAGGGGATCTTCCCTATCCAGGAAGTGAACCCAGGTTTCCTCCATTGCAGGCAGATTCTTTATCATCTGAGCCACCAGGGAAGCCCAGTGACACTTATGTCCATGCCTGCTGTGAGGGGTGGAGATTGGGTCCACTTGGCACTTAGCACAGTGCCACAGACTGCTGTCAGAGCTGGACAAATGCAGCTTTAGGACTCACATTCCCATGTGTCACTGTGTGTAGTTACATGTCCTCATGTAACAGCAGGAGTCTCCTGACAGCCCAGCCCTCTGATCCCAGTTTCCTCTTGAGTGGTAACCACTGGGGTGGGTGTGGGGTCATCCTTTCCAGATCTTTGCATTTGCAAACATGCCTATAGTTTGTGTGTGTACATCTGGGTGTGGGGGCCGGGGGGGGCAGGAGGTGGGTGTGTATATAGGAGAGTGTGTTTTAACTTGAGTGGTTTTATGTCAGTGACTTGCTTTGTTCACTTAAGCATAATTCTTGGGAGCTATCCAAGTTCTCTGAGCTCTAAAGTGTGATAGTTCTGTGGGAGTGTCGGCACTAGGAGTAGAGAGAAGGCCTCTGAAAAGCGAAAAGCTAGAAAGCAAAAGCATAGGGCCACATGCAGAGGGAAGTGGCAGGTATAGAACTGGGGGTTATAATTGAGTCTCGGTTCCTGATCTGGAGCCTCATGACACCAAGAAAGGCCAACCAGCTCTCGGCCAGGGAGCCATATGGTTACAGACAACAGGTGACAAATCCAAGTATGCACTGACTCACCATGAGTCTCAAACAAATGTTCTCAGACCCAGCCCCGGGTGTGCTGTTACAGCAGTACACAGGACAGCCATGGACTCAGCCCTTCTGTACTGTCCAGCGGAGAGACAGACATGAAACGAAGTCCATCCGGAGCCAGTTACCTGCTGGAAGCGGAAGGACTCTGACCGCCTCTTCTGGTTGAGCTGCCACTCTTTGAAGTGCAGCACGGCCTCATCCACATTGACGATGCCCAGCTTCACCTGCTCCTGGAGGGTAATGAGTTGCCGCTGGCCTGGTGTTTTCATCCCAGCAAAGGGATCATATATGCTCGACTGAGGCCTGTCCCTCCACGGTCTGACAGGTGGCTCTGGAAAGGAAAGAGAAACTCAGTCTCCAGGCTCCTCCACTGGAGAGAGCTGACCGGGTGAGTGGGATTCATGATGCTGGCCGTGGGTTAAAGAGGACATGTCTCAGAAGAACAATCATATGTAGAATCAAGACAAGGGAGATGCTACATGGAATCAGAGAGGGAAGCAGCTAATAATTTCAAAGCCTATGACACTAAAGTAGACAAGGTCACAACATTTTAGAAAGGTATAGCAACCAGGGGGCCTTCCCAGGTGTGGCTGGTGGTAAAGAACCCGCCTGCCAATACAGAGACATAAGAGATGTGGGTCCAGTCCCTGGGTGGGGAAGATTCTCTGGAGAGGGGCATGGCAACCCACTCCAGTATTCTTGTCTGGAGAATCCCATGGACAGAGGACCCTGGTGGGCTACAGTCCATGGGGTCATAAAGAGCTGGACACAACTGAATGACTTAGCACACATGTAGGCACGCAGCATCCAGTAGATGAGTCAACATGAATTACTGAGAAGTCTTTAGACCAGCGTTTCTCAACGCTTGGTTGGGGTCGGCTGGTTGTACACTGTAGGATGTTTAACCTCATACCTGGCCTCTACCCACTTGATGATAATAGCATCTCCTTCCTGAGCTGCCACAACAAAAAAATGTCCCAGGGCTTCCCTGGTGGTCCAGTGGTTAAGAATCTTCCTGCCAATGCAGGGGACACAGGTTCTGTCCCTGCTCTGGGAAGTTTCCACATGCCGTGGGACAACTAAGTCTATGCATCACAGCTACTGGGCCTGTGCTCTAGAGCCCAAGAGATGCAGCTACTGAGCCCGCATGCCCAAGAGTCCATGATTTGCAACAAGAGGAGCCACCGCCAACAAGAAGCCCCCACACGAGTAGAGAGTAGCCCTTTGCTCACCACAACTGAAGAGAGCCTGGGCACAGCAAGAAGACCCAGTGCAGTCCAAATAAATAAATAATCTTTTAAAAAAAAGTCCCAGATGTTGCTAAATGGCACGGTGGCGCGGTGCTGGCGAGTGGAGGAGAAATCACCCCGAGTTGAGAACCACTGATTTAGACTAAAATCCTCCCAGAAGAGACTATACAGGAAGGGCTAACCAGGATGCTTCTCCTAGCACTTCTAGCCCTCCCCCATCCTGCCTGCCTCGAAGCAGCATAGGGCACAGTGATTGTGAACCAATAGGTGTGAAATGCCTGAGGAGACTCCTGGAAGGCTAATGGGATCATGACCCAAGTCCAAAGTCACCAGGTAAAAATTGGGTGCTGAGTCCCAAGTGAGTCTCCTTGGGTTGTTCATGTGCCAACCTCCCTTCCACCTTAAAAGTATATAATTCTCTGCTTTAGATGTTCTAGGGAAGTATGACGCCAACTCCTCTCTCTCCAAGCTGTGTGGCTCCTCTAGGTTCTGTGGGGAGTGAGCTAGACTTGTGGAAGGGATGGAGCCATTGAAACACATGAAAACATCGTGACATTTCACTGCTCATTTCCTGTGGGGCTCTCTTTGATTCTAAACATCTCCAGGAGGACCCCATTTGGACATTGTGACTCAAGGAGGTGGCATGAAGGAAAAAGAGAGATGACTTCACCCAGTGGGTACTGAAAAAGCTTCAAAGGAACATATACATCATCCTTACCCACCATTCTCTTTGTCCACACACTCACATACCTTTCTCCCAGGTTTGCCCTATGATCTTTAATTATATTGGGAGGTGGAGTGTGGGGACAAAATAAAAATGCACAAGTCAGTCAGTTCCAGTCTCCTACGACCAAAGTCTTTAGGGATGCTTTCCGTGTTTAGATGGTGTCATGGCTCCTTTTCAAAAGAATCATCAATGGGATACTACTGAATGCCTCTGCTTAGCACAAGGAAATGCATCAAGAACAAAAGAGCACTTATCTCTTCAAACTTCCTTTAAAAAGCTTTCAAAAAAATGTCACCCAGTGGCAAACAAAAGTCTCAAATAAAAGTTGAATTAAAGTATACTTTAGCTAATACAGATAGCCTAGGTAAATAGCACGGTAGGGCTGGATCACTAGGAAAAGACTGGGTGCTGGGCTGCCCACTTTCATCCTATTGGATGTCTAAATAGTATTTTAGTGTGCTGTTACAGACACTTTCTCGGGTACTAAAGTCATTGGTATGATCAATTTGTACAATGTTCTAAGTCACCTCAATCTCTTCTCTTCTCCCTTCACCTTCAGTTCAGTTCCCCTTCAGGTATTTCTTGAACCTCTGTTTTTCAAGGATAAGGAGTGATTACACCTGGAAATCTCTGAAACATGAACACTGCCACCACCAAGAAGTCCAGGTCCTAAGAAAGAAAGTTGAGGACATCTGCTTACCTTTCTTGATGCTCTCTGAGGTAACATAGAAATTCCCAGGCCTCTCTTGACTTTTTTCTGCAAAAACTATGAGATAAAGAGTATTCTAAGTAAAGCCAAATAGTACCTCTTTCTAAGAAGCTTTATAATATTTTATACATTTAGCAGAAAAATTACCAAAAAAAATCTTGTCCAAAATCAATAATAATGGATCACAACTTGGACCATTGTACACAGTTCTAAAAATCAAAATTCTAGAAAGTGAAGTGTTAGTTGTTCAGTTGAGTCTGACTCTTTGTGACCCTGTGGACTGTAGCCCGCCAGGCTCCTCAAATACTGGAATGAGTTGCCATTCCCTTCTCCAGGAGATCTTCCCAACCCAGGGATTGAACCTGAGTCTCCTGCATTGCAGGCAGATTCTTTACCACTGAGCCACCAGACAAGCCCCTTTAAAGAAGGCAACCAAAGAATGGAAGCTCTAGGAATTACAACATGAAGACAGATCAAACAGACAAGGTCTCAAACCAGAAAGACAAAGCCAGCCAGAGGACACCATTGGCATTTATGAGATCATTAAAGAAAAGGGTAAAGTGAACAAGGATGTGTGCTGGATCCTTGAATATTTGAAGCAAGCCATGGAACACCCCAAAGTTTAAGAATAAAAGGAAGTGCCACTTAACATGTCAACAAGTGCCATAGGACAGAACTCAGAGCAGTGGGACATGTAAAATGTGTGCAAGGCTCCAAAGTGACTTAGATGATGTCATTCATGCACGAGGAATCCATAAAGGTTCGTAGGGAACATTAGGAAGTGACAGACGTTCACTCAGTGGTAGGATTAACAAGGGATTAAGGCTCCTTGGGCTCTGCACATGACTCCCTGCATTTAAAGCCTGGCTCTACCATTTATGAGCCACATGACCTAAGGCAAGAGGCATGAACTCTTCTTGCCTCAGTTTTCTGATCTGTAGAATGAGGCTGATATTGTACCCTTGGCTATGGGTTGTTGTGGGGATTATATGAGTTAATATATGGAAAGTGCTTAGAACAGTGCCTGGCATGTGTAAGCACTTCATGTTAGCTTTTATTATCATTGTGTGCGTGCTCAGTCACATCAGTCGTGTCTGACTCTTTGCAGCCCCATGGACTGTAGCCCACCAGGCTCCTCTGGAATTCTCTAGGCAAGAATACTGGAGTGGGTTGGCATTTCCTTCTCCAGGAAATCTTTCCAACCCAAGGATCAAGCCTGCATCTCCTATGTCTCCCGCATTGCAGGCAGATTCTTTACCCTCTGAGCTACCTGGGAAGCCCTTTATTATCATTATTCATATCTAAACCTTGAGATTGATGCCAATAGGACAGAAATCCCAATAAGAGATAGGATGTTTATATAATGCTTTATTTGAAAAGACCCTGATGCTGGGAAAGATTGAGTGCAGGAAGGGAAGGGGACAACAGAGGTTGAGATGGTTGGATGGCATCACCGACTCAATGGACATGGGTTTGGGTAGACTCTGGCGGTTGGTGATGGACAGGGAGGCCTGGTGTGCTGCGGTTCATGGGGTCAAAAAGAGTTGGACACGACTGAGCAACTGAACTGAACTCCCATGTATTATCTCATCTGACCTTCATAATAAGGTTCTGACAGAGTATATTACTAGGCATAAATTTATAAATATATTATTATGATATGTATTTCATAGGTGAGGAAACTAAAACTAAAGAGGGCGAAATGATTTACCCAATGTCTCATTTTGTAGAATTGAAAAATGCAAGGAGCTGAGACTTGAACCCAGAGGTTCTGGCCTCCTAACCATTGCCCTTTTGTCATCTCCTGCCTCTCTCCTTTCCTTTGCTCTCCACAATGTCCTAGCAAGTCCTCCAGGGCTCTTTAGGAATTGCCTGTGCCCCTTCTAACTGAACTCCCACAATGAGCCGGACCATCATGGCAAACCATGAGGACTGAGGGCGCTAGACAAGGTGGAAACACCCTTCCACTGCATTCCCACCCAACTTCGGATTGCTGGATTTAACAAACCAAAATAAAAACTGAAAAAAAGAGTGCCGTTTTTCTGGAATTCATACTTAATGAGGTATGGTTGTATTTTATTTGACAACCACAGCCCTCTAATTGAGGGCTATCTTCCCAGTTTATAATCTTTTGCCATACCTTCCACAACCTGTTATACTATTAAACATGAAATGGAGGTCAAGTGCACAGATCTGGCAATTCTTATACTCTTAGAGTACTTGTAATCATATTAATAAAATCAAGTTCTGAAAGATAGTGAAACTTAAAATGCTAATGAGCATCTAATGTCCCACAGGTCATTGTGAAGAACTCAAAACTCAATTATTATCAACTTTTATCAATGTAGGTAGGTAGGTAGATAGCCTAGCATTGTGATTGAAAACCAAAGTTGTAGAGAGAGACTCCCTGAATTGAAATCCTGGCTCTGCTACATGGTTATCAAGCAACCTCTGTAAGCCTCCATTTTTTCTCATCTGTAAAATGGAAATGATAATGGCCTGTACCTAATAGATTATTGTGGCATATTCCAAATAAAGCACTCAGTAGCTTTCAATAAATGTTAAATATTGAAAATTAATAATAATAATAATAGTTTCAGGAGATAACAATTACCAGGGATCTTGCTATTTGGAGTAGAGAGACATCTTATTTATCTCTATCTTCCCTTTATGTGCCAATTCCTGCAGGAAGGCCAGAACTGAATCTGACCACTGCCCCTAGTCTAGTTCCATAATCTGCCCCAAACTCTGACCCTGTCTCCGGGGACTGGTTGGAGACCATTCAGGAGGGAATATTCTCTGAGCAATAATTCAGGAGGTAGAGGATCCAGGGAATTCCTGCTGAGAGGCCCTGAAGACCCCACGGGGCATCATTCCCTGCCACACTTGCCTTTAGAAATGTATGATTCATTGTCAGATAGCTGGTGAGTGGCAGATGCACTGGCCTCTGGTCTGGGCACTGGGACAGGGGGCCTGTTGGTCAAGTCCACTGAAAAGGCCTCATCATCATCCACTGTGTGATATACATCTTCTTCCTGACCAAGATGGTCTTTCTCCAAACTGGACATTCCCATGCTGTTGCCTAGAAACAGAGAGAAAGGTGACTAAAACAATTGTCAAACCCTGGGATGCCCAACTTTTGCAACCAGCTGCCCTGGATCCCAGCCCTGCCCATCAGTAAGCTGATAGCCTCCGCATTAGGTAGGGCCTGGCAACCAACCAGGCCAGGGACCAGCCCCACCTACCAGCACCTCCACAGTTGTTGGCCCTCCCTGCCACAACAGAAAGGCCCATGTAGCCCAAGTGGAAGGCACAACTAGAGTATATAGCTCTGGTGACCAGAAGGGTGTATGCTACTGGGCCCCATAGATATCTGCTATATAAGGCCACTTCTCTCAGATTGGGAAACATTTCCAAGCTACAAAATGCACAAAAATTAAAAGAATTATTCAAAATGAGGGGCAGGGAAATAATGCCAAACAACGGAACAAGAAAACCCCCAGAAGAAGATTAGAAAAAGTAGATTTTAAAACAAAGACTGTAACAGTAGACAAAGACAGACAGTATATAATGATAAAGAGAACAATCCAATAAGAAGATATAACTAAAAGTATATATACATCTAATATAGGAGCACTAAATACATACAGAAAATATTACCAGCATATGGAAAACTGACAGTAATATAATAATATAGTACAATAATAGGAGGCTTTAACATATCACTTACATCAACAGATACATCATATAGTCAAAAATTCAGTAAGGAAACACTGGCTGTAAATGACATATTAGACCAGATAGACTTAATAGATATATAAAGGTCCATATAGTTAAATCTATAGTTTTTCCAGTAGTCATGTATTGATGTGAGAGTTGGACTATAAA